ATACACTCCGGTCTCCTATAACGCTGCGTATAGTTGCCATATCGCGAATTGTATGTCAAACGCGACCAATGTATTAGGGAGCACTTTAATATATATAACGCGCGAGGAGCCAATAATCGCTCGTACGGTCTTTTCAACTTAGTATCATCCTCGCACAAGGCACTCGGATGTTTCTGGATGGTTCTAGATGTTACCCTGACCTGCCCCTACTAACATTCTGACCTGCCCCTACTAACATTCTGACCTGCCCCTACTAACGTTCTGACCTGCCCCTACTAACGTTCTGACCTGCCCCTACTAACGTTCTGACCTGCCCCTACTAACATTCTGACCTGCCCCTACTAACATTCTGACCTGCCCCTACTAACGTTCTGACCTGCCCCTACTAACGTTCTGACCTGCCCCTACTAACCTTCTGACCTGCCCCTACTAACCTTCTGACCTGCCCCTACTAACATTCTGACCTGCCCCTACAAACCTTCTGACCTGCCCCTACTAACATTCTGACCTGCCCCTACTAACGTTCTGACCTGCCCCTACTAACCTTCTGACCTGCCCCTACTAACCTTCTGACCTGCCCCTACTAACATTCTGACCTGCCCCTACTAACGTTCTGACCTGCCCCTACTAACTTTCTGACCTGCCCCTACTAACCTTCTGACCTGCCCCTACTAACCTTCTGATCTGCCCCTACTAACCTTCTGACATGCCCCTACTAACATTCTGACCTGCCCCTACTAACGTTCTGACTTGCCCCTACTAACCTTCTGACTTGCCCCTACTAACCTTCTGACCTGCCCCTACTAACTTTCTGACCTGCCCCTACTAACTTCCTGACCTGCCCCTACTAACCCTCTGACCTGCCCCTACTAACATTCTGACATGCCCCTACTAACATTCTGACTTGCCCCTACTAACCTTCTGACCTGCCCCTACTAACCTTCTGACCTGCCCCTACTAACCTTCTGACCTGCCCCTACTAACGTTCTGACCTGCCCCTACTAACCTTCTGACCTGCCCCTACTAACATTCTGACCTGCCCCTACTAACGTTCTGACCTGCCCCTACTAACCTTCTGACCTGCCCCTACTAACATTCTGACATGCCCCTACTAACGTTCTGACCTGCCCCTACTAACATTCTGACCTGCCCCTACTAACGTTCTGACCTGCCCCTACTAACGTTCTGACTTGCCCCTACTAACATTCTGACCTGCCCCTACTAACATTCTGACATGCCCCTACTAACCTTCTGACCTGCCCCTACTAACATTCTGACCTGCCCCTACTAACGTTCTGACCTGCCCCTACTAACCTTCTGACCTGCCCCTACTAACCTTCTGACCTGCCCCTACTAACATTCTGACCTGCCCCTACTAACGTTCTGACCTGCCCCTACTAACCTTCTGACCTGCCCCTACTAACATTCTGACATGCCCCTACTAACGTTCTGACCTGCCCCTACTAACATTCTGACCTGCCCCTACTAACCTTCTGACCTGCCCCTACTAACATTCTGACATGCCCCTACTAACATTCTGACATGCCCCTACTAACATTCTGACCTGCCCCTACTAACCTTCTGACCTGCCCCTACTAACCTTCTGACCTGCCCCTACAAACATTCTGACCTGCCCCTACTAACGTTCTGACTTGCCCCTACTAACCTTCTGATCTGCCCCTACTACCCTTCTGACCTGCCCCTACTAACTTTCTGACTTGTCCCTACTAACCTTCTGACCTGCCCCTACTAAACTTCTGACCTGCCCCTACTAACGTTCTGACCTGCCCCTACAAACATTCTGACCTGCCCCTACTAACCTTCTGACCTGCCCCTACTAACCTTCAGACCTGCCCCTACTAACCTTCTGACCTGCCCCTACTAACGTTCTGACCTGCCCCTACTAACGTTCTGACCTGCCCCTACTAACCTTCAGACCTGCCCCTACTAACCTTCTGACCTGCCCCTACTAACCTTCTGACCTGCCCCTACTAACGTTCTGACCTGCCCCTACAAACCTTCTGACCTGCCCCTACTAACCTTCTGACATGCCCCTACTAACGTTCTGACCTGCCCCTACTAACGTTCTGACCTGCCCCTACTAACCTTCTGACCTGCCCCTACTAACATTCTGACCTGCCCCTACTAACCTTCTGACCTGCCCCTACTAACATTCTGACATGCCCCTACTAACGTTCTGACCTGCCCCTACTAACGTTCTGACCTGCCCCTACTAACCTTCTGACCTGCCCCTACTAACCTTCTGACCTGCCCCTACTAACATTCTGACCTGCCCCTACTAACCTTCTGATCTGCCCCTACTAACATTCTGACATGCCCCTACTAACGTTCTGACCTGCCCCTACTAACCTTCTGACTTGCCCCTACTAACCTTCTGACCTGCCCCTACTAACCTTCTGACCTGCCCCTACTAACGTTCTGACCTGCCCCTACTAACGTTCTGACCTGCCCCTACTAACCTTCTGACCTGCCCCTACTAACCTTCTGACCTGCCCCTACTAACATTCTGACATGCCCCTACTAACGTTCTGACCTGCCCCTACTAACATTCTGACCTGCCCCTACTAACATTCTGACCTGCCCCTACTAACCTTCTGACCTGCCCCTACTAACCTTCTGACCTGCCCCTACTAACCTTCTGACTTGCCCCTACTAACCTTCTGACCTGCCCCTACTAACCTTCTGACCTGCCCCTACTAACGTTCTGACCTGCCCCTACTAACGTTCTGACCTGCCCCTACTAACCTTCTGACCTGCCCCTACTAACATTCTGACATGCCCCTACTAACATTCTGACATGCCCCTACTAACGTTCTGACCTGCCCCCTACTAACATTCTGACCTGCCCCTACTAACCTTCTGACCTGCCCCTACTAACATTCTGACCTGCCCCTACTAACATTCTGACCTGCCCCTACTAACCTTCTGACCTGCCCCTACTAACCTTCTGACCTGCCCCTACTAACATTCTGACATGCCCCTACTAACATTCTGACATGCCCCTACTAACGTTCTGACCTGCCCCTACTAACATTCTGACCTGCCCCTACTAACATTCTGACCTGCCCCTACTAACCTTCTGACCTGCCCCTACTAACCTTCTGACCTGCCCCTACTAACCTTCTGACCTGCCCCTACTAACATTCTGACCTGCCCCTACTAACGTTCTGACCTGCCCCTACTAACCTTCTGACCTGCCCCTACTAACATTCTGACCTGCCCCTACTAACCTTCTGACCTGCCCCTACTAACCTTCTGACCTGCCCCTACTAACCTTCTGACCTGCCCCTACTAACCTTCTGACCTGCCCCTACTAACATTCTGACATGCCCCTACTAACGTTCTGACCTGCCCCTACTAACCTTCTGACCTGCCCCTACTAACCTTCTGACCTGCCCCTACTAACCTTCTGACCTGCCCCTACTAACCTTCTGACCTGCCCCTACTAACCTTCTGACCTGCCCCTACTAACCTTCTGACCTGCCCCTACTAACCTTCTGACCTGCCCCTACTAACATTCTGACCTGCCCCTACTAACGTTCTGACCTGCCCCTACTAACATTCTGACCTGCCCCTACTAACCTTCTGACCTGCCCCTATTAACATTCTGACCTGCCCCTACTAACCTTCTGACCTGCCCCTACTAACCTTCTGACCTGCCCCTACTAACATTCTGACCTGCCCCTACTAACATTCTGACCTGCCTCCTACTAACGTTCTGACCTGCCCCTACTAACATTCTGACCTGCCCCTACTAACCTTCTGACCTGCCCCTACTAACCTTCTGACCTGCCCCTACTAACATTCTGACATGCCCCTACTAACATTCTGACATGCCCCTACTAACGTTCTGACCTGCCCCTACTAACATTCTGACCTGCCCCTACTAACATTCTGACCTGCCCCTACTAACCTTCTGACCTGCCCCTACTAACCTTCTGACCTGCCCCTACTAACCTTCTGACCTGCCCCTACTAACATTCTGACCTGCCCCTACTAACGTTCTGACCTGCCCCTACTAACCTTCTGACCTGCCCCTACTAACCTTCTGACTTGCCCCTACTAACCTTCTGACCTGCCCCTACTAACATTCTGACCTGCCCCTACTAACCTTCTGACCTGCCCCTACTAACCTTCTGACCTGCCCCTACTAACATTCTGACCTGCCCCTACTAACCTTCTGACCTGCCCCTACTAACCTTCTGACCTGCCCCTACTAACCTTCTGACCTGCCCCTACTAACCTTCTGACCTGCCCCTACTAACATTCTGACATGCCCCTACTAACGTTCTGACCTGCCCCTACTAACCTTCTGACCTGCCCCTACTAACCTTCTGACCTGCCCCTACTAACCTTCTGACCTGCCCCTACTAACCTTCTGACCTGCCCCTACTAACCTTCTGACCTGCCCCTACTAACCTTCTGACCTGCCCCTACTAACCTTCTGACCTGCCCCTACTAACATTCTGACCTGCCCCTACTAACGTTCTGACCTGCCCCTACTAACATTCTGACCTGCCCCTACTAACCTTCTGACCTGCCCCTATTAACATTCTGACCTGCCCCTACTAACCTTCTGACCTGCCCCTACTAACCTTCTGACCTGCCCCTACTAACATTCTGACCTGCCCCTACTAACATTCTGACCTGCCTCCTACTAACGTTCTGACCTGCCCCTACTAACGTTCTGACCTGCCCCTACTAACATTCTGACCTGCCCCTACTAACATTCTGACCTGCCCCTACTAACATTCTGACCTGCCTCCTACTAACGTTCTGACCCCGTGCCACCCACTAACGTTCTGACCCCGTGTCCCTCCTGAACATCTGTGAAAAAGAGCTTAATAGCTAATCGGACTCCTCCTGCAGTCTAAATAAACATCCTGATTATGATTATCGTGGGGTGGGGGGGGGGCAAATTGACAACACTGCATTCTCCCGCCAATGTGGGGAGGCGCGTCACGCAAAACCCAAGTCTCGCGAGATCCAAAACATCGCGAGAGTGGGCGTGACGTCACTCGCCGAGATCTCGCCGACGGGACAAGATGGAGTATTGCATTGGCATCCAGGGCAAGGACTTCGTGGCGGTTGCGGCCGACACAGTGAGCGCGCACAGCATCGTGGTGATGAAGCAAGGTGAGGGTTGCGCCCGTCGGCGAGATGTCGCCGCGGTTAATTTCTGTGGGTTTTTTTATTTCGGGTTGGAAGCATGGTAGGGATGTGGCCCCGTGCGGCCTAGCGCGCCTAGGACTCTCGGATGGATTCGCTGCGGAGGTAGAAGCGCCTCGCCCGCCCCGGATCCTAGGAGAGGCCGATGGATCTCGCGGCCTAGCCTCCGTTGGATGTGCATTTTAACTTTGTTTTAATTGTGTGGGGGGTCTTTTCAGTGCCTTATTAAACTGTTGTGTTAAGATAAGTCAGATGCTGATACGTGTTTTAATTTGGGTGAAGTTCGGTGCTTTTAGTAAAGCATACTTTTACCGGAATGGATAAAACTCTTGGCCTGCATGACTTTTCATTTTAGAGAACGGGAGGACATGCGGACCAGAGCCGCTTTGTTTAAATGTAATCTTTCGAACACTTTAATTTAACACGAATATTGTTGTTATATTATTACATTGTTACGTACAATGTTATTCATAAATGTGTGTGTATACGTTTTGTGTTTATCTGTAAAAGATATTGGAACGAAACTACGTTTTGGTTCCATTGAATTAGATGACAGCTCATTGAGACAAACTTCCAGCTACGATCTTCTTTGGTTCTTTCGGTAAAGTCACGTAGAATGAGAATAAAATAATAAATTGATAAAATAAAATAACACAATAATATTCTCACGACGTTTCGGCCACAACACAAGCGGCCTTCATCAGGTGAAGGGAGCGAGACTGTCTGGTAGGACAGCGCTGGAGTGAGAGAGCCACGTTCACGTTCACGTGGCTCTCTCACTCCAGCGCTGTCCGAAACGTCGTGAGAATATTATTGTGTTATTTTATTTTATCAATTTATTATTTTATTCTCATTCTACGTGACTTTACCGAAAGAACCAAAGAAGATGAATCATTGCAGTCACGAAAGCTTTAAATCGAAATTCCAGCTACGATGTTTTGCAGTACAGTGTTTTTTAAAGGTGTGTATACGTTCTTTAGAATTTGAGTAGAGTTGGTGCCTGAGTGTGACAAACAAGGTGTTTAACAATGCCATGAGGTTAATGCAATAGCCAGTGTTAAACCTATTCATTTAAATGTAGGCTATTAAGGTCAGCATGTGTGATTATTAATTTTAGAGGAAGAAATTTGAATAGAAATATGCTGACAAGGGACTGGGTTTAAACAGATATTTAGTCATGATTGATTTTAATACGTGATTATTTTAATACAGTGTATTCATATTCTATATTTGAAGCTTTCGTGACTGCAAGGATTCATATTCTTTGTTTTTTTTCGGTAAAGTCACGTAGGTAAAATAAAATAAATGAAAACAACTAAATTAAATCACGACGTTTCGGAGGCAACACAAGCTTCCGTCTTCAGGTGGAACAGTCACAGCAAAATAGCTGCATCAACCTTGAAACGTCGTGATTTAATTTAGTTTTCATTTTATTTACCTATGTGACTTTGCCGAAAAACCCTAAGAATATGTATTCATATGTTTAACTGTTAATGCTTGTATTTCAATGCTTTGTGTCTGTATCATTGAAAAACGAATCGATATTAAATGACAGCTTATGTTTTTTCCCATAGTGCCTTGCATGACTTTCTATTGGTGGCTGCATGTCGGACAGGACTTTGTTAAAACCGAGCTGTACCAATACTGATTTGTCTTACTCAAAATAATGTAACTCGTACTGTGCGTCACATTTTTTTGGAATATCCAGTGTTATAACATTCAGTGCCATTAAAACAAAGAATAATTGTTTACAATATGCAGTTATATTTTTCCAGTTATCTAACCTGTGACTGAGGATTCCATTCAGATTTTTTAAAATTAAATATTCGTTTTCTTTGGGTCTTTTGGTAATGCCACGTAGATATAACAAATAATAAAATAATAACAATATATATTCCCAGCAGCTCTCCCGCTATATTTTTCACCTGATGACGATTGCTTGTGTTGCGATCGAAACGTGATATTATTATTTTTATTATTTGTCCTATCTACGTGGCTTTACCGAAAGACCCAAAGAATATGAATTCCTGCAGTAACGGAAGCTTTAAGTCAAGATTTAAATATTAATTGTTCGGCAAATGAGTTAATGAAATTGGAACATTTGAAAAGGTAGACAGTGGACCAACCTTTGTTTACCATATAAAACATTGCACAATTTTTTTAACCTAATCTCCAACATTGCCCGCACTCAGACCAGGAGAAGATGTTCCGGCTAAGCGACCGCATCCTTCTGCTGTGCACGGGGGAGTCTGGAGACACGGTGCAGTTCGCCGAATACGTGCAGAAGAATGTGCAGCTCTACAAGATGAGGAATGGTGAGGGTGCGGAGAGAGATAGGGGCAGTCTGGGTTGCGTTATTAATCTTAGAATTTACTCTAACTGACAAATTGTCTGAAATGTAAAGATCTTGTTTCAGTGACCGTAACAAAACCACGTCTTCGTTAACCTGTTAATTAATTGTTTAAGTTTAGTGAAGTAATAATATAAAAATTATGATAAATTAGTAGATCAATTAGATAATTTTAAAAGGGAATCGTCTATCTTTTCCTTGTTATGATTGCATAGGTGAGTAAATGATGCAAAGATGAGAAAATTGGTATCAAAGTAAGGAATTGGCAAGGAGAATGTCAACTATAGTTAAAAACCAGCCAGGACCTGAAGATTATAAACACTTAGAAAATGGATATTGCAGTGTCAAAAGTGGAGACGTTTTAAATAAATTTACTCAATTCTCGCAGACAAATCCCATATTTCCAGAGATGCCTGTCTTCAGCAATTTAACACGGGAAGTGATCACAAGCTGGCCTTGTGCAAGTTGAGCTTTAACGTTGCCAAAAAAAAGAGGACGAAGCTAATGGCAGGCAAGAACAAGATGGTTGACATAACAAAAAATCTACTTTAGGAGGCAGGAGAATTTCGATTGTTCTCAGCAAACAGATTAAAATCCCTATAGAGGCAAAGTGATGAAATAGATGTCACCACTTGGAATTAATGAGATAACCAACGTTGTAATTGGCGGTGCAAGGGGTTGGAGCAGGTGGGGGAAAATAAAAAAAATGAGCGGAGGACGAGTTATCTAACACTACAAAATTAATGTTGAAGAAAGGCATGAAAAAGCTAGAAGATGTGAAAATGTAGAACATTTAATGGTATGAATCTATAAAATGTAGTGGTATGAATGTAGAACCGATAGTCATGTGAATCTGTAGTTTTTAAAGCAGTATGAATTATAATCTTGGGTGACGTGACTCTACAGAATCTATTGTGGTTTTATATATAAGGAGTGCAATGCTATTCATCACAGAACATTCATTGTTTTGAGTTTATATAGTCGATAGTGATATGTAAAATATAAAACATGGTGTGTAGCTAGATAATCCAGTGGTTTTATTGTATTGAATCTCAATTTAACATGTAGGCTTTGCGCCCAATATTATTCATGATAAAGGTTTTTGGATTAGATCGCGTAAATGTGTTGTTAACCCACCACCACCCTGCATAGCCAATTAGTAAGGTTTGTCGCATAAACAAAACGTGCCAATTAGTTACTACTTCAGCACACCTTTATGATGTATTGAATCTTTTAGTACGAATTGGAAAACACGCATTTTTATATGCATGATTGATTGAATATATCATGATTTTTTTCAACGAATTTTGATATTTGAATCATATCCCTAGTCATGGCATTTTCACAGCTATCACATTTGCAGTAGGAAAGAAACATTCAGTCGTCGTTGTGAACGGGGAAATATGTTTTCAGAATTATTGACATTTACAAACATTAATGTGCTTCTGTTAATTTTCCTCAACGGTAATGCAATGTTCAAGTCACGAACAACAATGAACAAGTGTGGACAGTAATACATACTTAGACGGTGTTTGTAAAAAAAATATTTCGACACGATGCTAAACCCACTGAGATTTATCGTTCCCACATGTGACCGGGTCACTTTGTGTCCTGGCAACATTTCCATGAGCTTACAACCGTGGTGCTAAGAATAGCATGCAACTTGGTTGTCCTGAAAAGTGTTTTTATTTTGATATGTCAATTGCAGTTAATTTATCCTTTTCATGCCCGTTTTTAAGTATTATTTATATTTCGCTGACATTTTTCACCAGAAAATTTTCATTTATATAAATGTAGATTTTATTTATACATGACAATAACTGTTTCTGGATTAAACTTGCCTAATTGGTGATTTACTGTGCCACAATTGGGTCTTAATCATCTGCAATGATCTATCCTCTGTTGGCTGACAGCACACCCATCTGTCACCATCCCTCACATTACAGCAATCTATCTAGCACCATGGGTTTATTGAATTTATCTATCTCCTCAATGCAGTTATTCTTTGGCATATTTCCCACACTTGAGCATGGCAAAATGTATAAGTTGCATAGGTGTTAATATTTTAACACTTTAGAACTCTGTTTGTCTGGTTGACTTTGCTCTAAAGGACCAGATATCTATACCCATCAATATCGTGTTTACTTTAGTTCTTTTATACATGGGTTTAAACATAGTTATAAAATTACGTAATTGTACGTTCAAGTATATTATTTATATCATCCATTTGCTAAATCGAACCACCGCACAGAAATACATTGAAGTAAGGTTAAGGTTAGGTTTGCTCGAAGCAGAGCATGTTGGTGAACATCGCCTTTTTGTGTTTTGTAAGTTTCCATCACCAGCAGTTGAGCCTTTGAGACAGAGAGACTCGAGCTGCATTAACAGCTTTATGGCAAGCTTCCAGGAAGGTATTTCAGGCCAAAAGCCCGCTGCGGCCTGTCCGCCTTCACAAAGTGAGAAACGCGCACACCGCGCTCCAGCTGTGAGCGGTTTAGGTCCCGCTGACGCCGTCATCTGTGCACGGGCGCGGATTAACGCATTCCCGCGCCTCCGCCGATCCCAGGGCGCACGTGCCTCGCTTCCCAGGCGCACCGGAGCCCTGCCCATCTGTCATCTCGTTAAGCGGAGAGCCAGTAATCAGAATTAATAACTTCACACGTGCGCTAATAAGCCGTAATGACAGCTGAGAGCAAGCGCCGGCGTCGCTTATTCTCTCGTCACGATTCCCAGGTTTTATTAGCGACAACAACACATTTCAAATTGCGCAGCTCTGAACGTGCGCTCACTGCGCGTTGAGTTTTGAGAGATACCCCCGCTGCCGCTGCCGCTGCCGCTGCCGCCCCCCCCCACACCCCCTTTTTTATTTGATTTGTTAAATGCGTTTCTGTCTTCTGTGTTTGGCCCCAGGATATGAGCTGTCACCGACTGCTGCAGCAAACTTCACACGCCGAAACCTGGCCGACTACCTACGCAGCAGGGTGGGTCCCTCGCCGACCGCCGCTGCCAAACGCCGAAAAATTCTCATAAATTGTGAATCGCTGGCTTGGCAAGGCCCGGTTCGCATTCTGCGGGACGACGAGCCGTTTTTTGTTTTGTTTTAAAGTATGCTTGCTCGACGCTTATCAAAGGACCTTTTTTCTCACGCATCCATCACCTGTCTTTGGCATCACAGCGATGGTACCTTGTTGGCGTTTTTAAATGTGTGCATTAATCACGCTGTTGGGGTGATGAAGTGATTCATTAATTTAATGTTTGATTTGTGTTTAAAAAAAAAAGTGCAGGTTATGATCTCCAACGAACTATATTTTTTACATTTCTTGTTGAGGCACATCTTTCAGTTATGTCACTGGTCTTGAAGGTGTGGGCTGGTAGCATATCCACTTCAAATGTTATCAACCATCACATGAATGTTAAATTGAACAATTTAGTCTGCGCTATAAAGTTCTGCATAGCGCATTACCCTTTAAGAATGTCAATTGCTCCTTTATCCTCCCTTCCACAACCCCCTGCAAATTGATCATGATTGAGGGTCAATTCTATTTAAGAATTTTTTTATATCGTTTATACTGTTGTCTGTCTTGTATGTTGTCTTGTTTTCCCATTCGCGTGAATATAACATTTGCGTATAGTTTTCCAAAATCATTAACGGTGCACGCTTACATGGCATTGCTAAACAAAGGTGTATTGACAACTGACGTGCAATAGTAAGTTCTGTTGCATTGTTAGCTATGATCTACCGTGAACTCCTACCGACTTTTGTTATTCGTGTTAACCTTCCGAAAGCCTACGTGTTAAACTGTGTTAAACTTCATTAAACTCCCGTTGGCTGCGCACAGAAGCGGTGCTTTTGGCACTCGCTTGGAGTTAGCTCGCATTGCCCGGTTGGGACAGGACGGTGACACGGTTAGATGGTTGGCTGGTCATCTGGACGTACAGATGAGTCTCTGCACGATTGCGGTGACCTGACAGAATGACTGATAGAGACCCCAACGGTCTGAAGGGGAGGGGGGCTCGGACGGAAGATCCTTGGCATTTCACGGCACACCAGCGGTTTCTCCAAAATCGCAAGCGGGCAGGCCGTGCTGGGTGGCCCGCGCTCTACATGGAGATGATAACAGATGTGAGGCTGGAGTAGTCTTGGCAGCCTTCACAACATGCCAAAAAATCTTATCATTTTAGCTGTGTTTTTTTTCCTGAATAGATTAATTCCAACGTTCCTTGGCACCAATTTGTCCGTCGACTTGTACGCTGTCTCCTGATGGATGTGCGGCAGGGGGTTAATGAGCAATGGCAGTGGGGCTCACGTGAGTGAGGGGATGTGGTGCTCGCTTGGCCGCGAACGTTGAAAATCGTGGTTGCCGCTAACGCGTTGTGGGGGTCCGGTGACAATCCTATGAACACCGGGGCCCACTATGTGCTTAAATTTTTTTTCACATCTTTGAAAGAGCACTTGAAATGTGAACGTGGAATGCCTTTATTTACAGCACTTGCAGAATGTACGACGTAATTTTGTATTCTGCTGGTCTTTCGGTAAAGTCACGTGACTTACCGAGAGACCCAAAGAATATTAATTCCTGCAGTCACGAAAGCTTTCAGTCAAGTTGTAATTTTGATTCAGCTATTGGCATAATTTCATGAGACGTAAAAAAAACCATTCCGTTTAGGACCATCACGGTGAAGCAATGTGTCGGCGGATGTTGAAGGGCGCAGGAAGATAATGCCACTCCACTTCTGAAGTCGTTTTCTTCGGCCTCTTTTTTTATTCCCTGCAATGAATTTTGCACGTCAGTCAAACAATTATTTTATTCTAGAACCGAAACAATAAACAGACTATGCAAGTGAAAACCAAATATTCATGAATAAAATGTTGTACGCAACCGTTGGTGATTGTGCTGAGATGTAAATTCATGACACTTAAACCTTGTTTAATCACATCTCGTGGAAACTGGACGATCGCAATCAGAATTTTTTTTTTATTTGAGAAGTCAGATTAGAACGCTGGCCCAATTTCACTGGCACGACGTTAATCTCTCGAGTCATCCAGCCACTTCTGAATGCACTTGGAGATCAGAGAGTAGTGTCCATTATTCTCATCTCACAAATCCTATGCGATATCTATGATAGCGACTGTCCAAGTTGTGCCAATCTAAATGTGTTGCCAGCCTTGCAAGCTGCACACCACGCTTCTTGATAGCACCCACTGATTTTGTTTCTTTTACTTTCTTTTCAATGCCCCCGGTTTTATTCTGATTAATGCTAGCGGTGTAATGTCAGTCATCCGTCGATAATTCTCCATCTTCCCAGAAATGGGGCACAGGAGCGGATATCGCAGAAATGTTACACCTCCCCCACAGGTTCCGTCAAGTGACCTCCGGGTCCACTTAATAAAAAGGGGATCCTCCTTGATTTGGTTTGTTGGCCTCGCGGTATCTTCCCCGCCCCGTGTGTGCGTGTTTGCGCGAGTGCAGACCCCGTACCACGTGAACCTCTTGCTTGCTGGGTACGAGGAGAGCGAGGGGCCATCCCTCTTCTACATGGACTACCTGTCCTCCATGGTGCGGGTGCCGTTTGCGGCGCACGGCTACGGGGCGGCCCTCACCATCACCATCCTGGACCGACACTACCACCCCGGTGAGTGCCGCCCCCTCGGACGGTTAATATCGTCGTCGTCATCGTCAGTCGGCCATGATCTGTCCACAGCTGGATGAAGGCCTCTGTTTAAGGGTAGTCCAGATCGAGCCCAGTTTTTCCCCCCTTCATTGGGCCCTGCTGCGGCACACTCGGGCTGTTGTTTTTTTCGAAGTAATTTCTGTTTCCCGTTCTGTGAGCGGCGCTTCGTACCGGGCTCGCGTTGAGTTGTAATAAAAATAAAAAAGGAATAGGTCCTCCATTTCGACAATCGATGTGTAGCTCTTGCGCATGAGCTCATCGTATAACTCCCTCTCTCCCTCCTTGGTGGACATAACGTATTGGGATTCGTGGACGATTTTTGTTAATGCCCGTTGTACGAGTGGGGAAAAAAATCTGCGGAAATTATGTATTTGCAAGGGCGGAAACACCCAAAGCTCCACGCAGATATTCAAGAATCCATTGCTGTATTGCCATATTCTGGCCACCTCAGCACAAGCATGCAGTATATCTGGTATTCCCAGGCAGCCTCCTATCACGGTACTAACTGTGATTTGGGAGCGTCTGAGAACTAACAATCGGCCACTCGCAGGGGGAAATTGTTCAATTGTAAGATGACATTGTTGGGAATTAAAGGACTCGTGGTAGGGGGTGGGATTGAGGGGCATTATGAAGTTGTCACCTATGGCACGTCTCATTCGTTACCAGTCTACATATTTAGACCTTGAACGATTTGCGAAAATGTGATGATTTGTCGCAATTATGGGTCACGCTTTCATTCAGCAGATGATTATTTGTTTTGTCGTGCAGTGTTGGTGAAATCTTTTGGCTTCAGGGGTTCCACGAACCAGCCACACGCAGTATATGCGACTCAAAAAATGCTTAATTCTCACACGCGCAGTGCAGTGCATCTGTCACGAGCATAACAACGCATAACAACGTGTCATGGAATCGTTGCATGCCTACAAAGTATGCTTATGCATTGCCATAAGGTCTGTGTAAATATGATTTATTGTATTGGTGTTGTTTTACACCGTGCTTCGTTCAAAATTAAATGCTCCATAATGGGGATGCAAGCAATCGAACGTGCCAAATTATATATTTCACATTGCGAGCTTTATAAACGTATATAAGAGAACATCTCTAAACTCAACCGCTGCAAGGTCTTCCTGGTCTCCTCACAGCAGGGGGAGCAGAGAGGCCCCCTTAATGACGCTGGGAGTCTTGGGATTCGGTGGACATTGCCCGGGGCTCAGAGTGCCAAACTAGGCACTTCTCCCGAAATGTAGTGAATTGTTATTTTGTTTCGTTAGGTCCGTGATTTTTTTCTTCTTCTTCCAACCGCAGTTCTAAAGGCCCACCCACAGGCCAATATTGCCGGCAAGTTGCTCTAATCAGCGGATGCGTGCGATATTCGTTACGCTGAGCTTTACCAATCAATTGACGCGCTGTCTATATAAAAAAAATTTACAATAATAAAACTTCCAAAGAGGTGGACTGTCGTGGCTTCGCGCGGAGCGGAGTTGAAGAGCGCTCCCATCAAGTGGTGCGACTCGTCCAGCGTGGCCCTGGCCGACAGCTCACATACGCTCACCGACAATTTTTTTCCGGCCAACCGTGCACTTCCCTTATCGCCCTTGCCACTGGTTTATTAAGAGAAGCGCCTAATGAAGGCAAGCCCCTCTGGGGGGAGGCCACTAACGGTGGCTGTGATGTTGGTGATTAAGCCGCAGACAGTCCGCAGAATTAATTAAGAGCCGAGCTATTGCCGTCTTCCCGGCCGACGTGACGTAAAGCAGTGTTTAAACGCGACCATTGCCGAGCTTACGCGATCAACTGTGGGCCACGACGATAAAGATTTTTCACGATGCGGATATCTGCGCGCGCTCCCGCGACGTGTATTTGAGCTCATTAAAACGTACGCGCGTACGTACTTAAGAACAACCGGATGGGGGGGGGAGGTGGTGGGAGGCAAATCAAAGCGGCGTTTTTTTAAACGGACGCAAGCCGCCGCTCCCGTTGCTACGCGCGTTCGCGGCACGCGCCAGGACGCGCGAGCGTACCCAGTGCGCACGCACATGCGCGGGGGGGCGCGCATGGAGAGAGAGAGAGAGAGCGGGCGAGGAATGCGCGAGGAAAGCGGCAGACAGAGGCATCTCGCCTCTGCAGCCAGCACCCCGCTGGCATGACTAGAGCTCCTACTGCTTTTCATTAGCCCCCCCTATCACATAAAGAGCCGGCCTCAGCCCATAATGTGCTTAAGCATCGGTCGGGCAAGCGGGGCAGGCGGGCGGGGACCGGCTTTCCATACGACGGGGCAGTTAATGTTGCGCGCAGGCTATAAAGAGAATGCACAAGTGCTGCTAGAGTTATCAATAGGCATTGATCACTGTGCGGGTTCTGTTTTTGCTAATGATGATGTTCTTATAGACTTGATGTTGTTGTCGTTTTAGACTTGACCCGGGAGGAGGCAGTTGAGATTCTGCAGAAATGTGCTCAAGAGGTAATGTGTGGTTTTGCATGGTGAATCTCGAACCAACGTCAACAATGCCTGGCAATAGGAAAATATATACAGTAGTTGTTTAATGTTCTGCAAAATGACTCCCACCGCCCCTTAATGTTTAACTCCTAAGCAAACATTTCTCTTCCCCCAATATCCACCGTCCTAATTAGCAATCACTTATCACAGTCAGAGAGATTTCATCAAGCGTTGCTGCCTGTCACTTTCTAGACCCCTTGGTCAAATGTTTATATCGGTATCTTTTATTGCCATTAATATTTTTGTCATCATTTGTTGCTGAGTATCTGTCGTTAACTGTACCTTAACGGAGGTTTAGATGAACTCGGCCGCAGTGGAAAAACCCTACGTGAGGGTTTAATGTTTTTTTTCCCTCTGTTGCCCGTGAGCGAACATCGGGTGCAGAGTAGCCACATTCCTCGTTTGACTTCCGGTTCACAACTCGGGGCAACAGCGTTTAATTGGGCCGTTGCGGCACATAGCACGCAGCCAACATCTAATAAACACAACGTACTTTAATGATGTCGCCGCTGTACTTGGTCGTAGGCATGGCTCTGGCAGTGTGATAAATTATCATGATTCCGGGGGGGGGGGGGGTGTGGGGCCAAACTGCCCCCATCGTTTGTCCTCGCGTGTTCTCTGCCGTACGTTTTCTTGAGTTTTTTTGTCCCCGTTCCACTGGCCCAAAGGCACAGTATGATTTGCATGTTATCTTAAAGTCGATTATTACACGCGCGCGATTCTATCCGCGTATCGTGGCAGTGCAAGAATCGGTTGCGGTTTGTGAATCGTTTACCTTGCCCGCTCATGAGCCAATGATTTTTTTGCGCTGACGTGGTGAAGCCTCTGTGTATTCTTGGTACCCAGGGCGGAAGTGTGGGACTTTAGTTGGTTACCTTGCAAACGTACACGGATCCAGCTTTCAAGCGTGCGGCTCCCTGCCTGAACCAGCCGGCAATTTTCACCGTCACTTTTTTGCTCAAGAGTTACGGACACTAATCAAGCGTGCTCGCACAAATTGGTGGTGGCTTTTGTGCCTTGCGCTAACGTGTCACGGGCGACTGGCCTGCGACCATCTGCTGCGTTCGTGTGACCCGCACTGCCCCGCCGTGTTATGTTTATATATTTATTTTTTTATATTTACCCAACTCTTCCCCCGTTTGCGCGTGCCCGAGCGCAGATGCACAAGCGCTTCCTGGTGAACCTGCCGGCGTTCACCGTGCGCATCGTCGACCAGGGTGGGGTGCACGACCTGCCGACCATCAGGGCGAGCGCGGCGCCCTTCAAGGAGCTGCCAGGGGTGGTGGCCGAACTCCCCAAGGCGACCGCGTAGTGCGACGTGCGCTATCCACCGACGGGGGGCGGGGGGGGGAATATCAAACGAGCGCCAGTGATATCGCCCCATCAGCAACGCGATTTCCACTGTTGTTGTCCCGAATTTCCTTATCTAGATATTCCAGTCGGTTGAAGTGACGGGATTGGAGGAGGGCAGGGGGGGGAAACAGTTATTGTTTTGAAGGCTTTTTTGTGTCGTAAATTTGTCAAGCGCTGATCGTAAAATAAACGGTAGCTTTCATTTTTGTCCTAACGATGTACGGGGCTTGCTCCTCACCTCTTTCACCCCCCCCACCTCACCCGCGTGTCCACCCACTTCCTGACACGTGCCGCCGCTTCCCTCCCTCGTCTGTCTGCCCATCACAAAACTAGTTTCAGATGTCGCTTGCAGCGCTGCTGGTATTTTTGGGGCCGGCTCGCCGCTTGGCTGCGCACCACCGTCAGCGTTTTGTGCGGGGAGGGGGTGGAGGAGGGTGGCGGGGGGATGGCGGCGGTGGGCTGTGGGCAGTATCGCGCTCGCCGATGAATGATCCGACGCGACGTCGAAGTGTCCGTCAATTTTAGCGCGAGCGACGAAACCGGCATCTGCGCATAGCTTTCGATTTACTTGCGGTTAATTCGAATTTTCTTTTCCCATCTCTTCCCAACCGGTTTTATTTTTCTCCCTTTGCGTCGCCTGCCTGCGAATAACTGCGACGATCTTTGCCGGAAAAATAAATAAATCCCCGCACCCGCCGCCTCCCTCCACCGTGTTTGAAGAGTACAGCTGTGAAGCCGAGTTAGCGCCGCTGCGCCTGATTGTGGCCAGCGCTGACGCCGCTCCCCCCCCCCCCCCCCCCCCCCCCCCCCCCCCCGTTAATGCCATCATCAAACCTCTCCACGCCCTTTTGGCCCCGGCACGCATAAAACGAGAGAGAGAGAGACCGCGCGCTCGCGTGCGGTGATGTACCGCCCGCTATCAAGTGGAAATGGGAGCACCAAAGAGGTAGCGTTTGCTCCATTACGACCCCTTAACGCATATTACTGCATTATGCGATATTCCAGAACTGTAGTAATATCGCCTGGATATTGCCGGTTGAGAAGGGGCCCTGGTAATGGCACACTATTAACGCAGATCCCATGATGGCGAAATAGCCCCAGCTTCATCTCGGCTCTTGGGTTTTTTTATTGCATATGTGTTTTTCACACAACCTCGCCGCCCCCCCCCCCCCCTCCACCTTTATTTTTTTATTATCATCGCCACACTTATGTAGTTGCTTGCGTGCAATGCTGGCGGTTTAGTGGCTCCGCTGAAATGAACCAATATGTACGCCGCTGGATATTTTAATGGCGGTAAGTAATGGCGTGCTCGGCACTTCATTACAGACGCGTGGCTGTCCGTGATGGCGAAGCTGTGTGTTTGTGAGCGTGTACGTATGAAGTGTATGTGTACACGTGTGAATGAGCTTGCGGTTGTGTTGACTTGAGCATGTATGTGTGAATGGTATTAGTGCGTGTATATATTTATGCAACTATATGTATATTTGTGCAAGTGTGTGCGGGTAAATGTGGGTGTTGTATGTGTTTGAGTGATTATGGGGGAGTGGTAATGTAGTGGACCGCTAATCCAGTGTTCCGAGTTTGATTTATGCTCACGGCCAACATTGGTGACATCTGAATTGGTCCTGTGCCTCTCCTACATCGACTTGGCCGTAAATGAGTACTTGGTACGCCATCTAACCCACAAAAACATCTTATGGATGATATTGATCGCGAAAGCTTACGTGTTAAACTTGGTGCGGTGTGTAAACATCACCACTGGGGAGACGAAGGCAAACGATGTGGCGCTGGCCACACACCTTCAAGAGTGTGTGCCTTTCTTTGCTTTCATCGGTGCTCCTGAAAAGCACTTTCCCAAATAAGCCGGTGTAGGCGATACGGGACATCTTTGAATGCGTCTGGGAGAATGAAATGGTGGGTGTGCAAGTGTGTGTAAGTGTGTGTGGGGAGCGGTAGTGTAGCGGTTAGCGCGCTGCGCTATGAACCTGGCGACCCGGGTTCGATTCCCGCTCACGGCCAACACCAGTGACGATTATCTGAACCGGTCCCGGGCCTCCCCTAGGTCGACTCAGCCTCAAATGTGTACCTGGTATGGTGTGTAAACGTTGCCACTAGGGAGACAAAGGCGGTCGAGTGTGGTGTTGGCCACTCACCCCCTTGTGTACCGTTCCGGCCTTTATAGGTGCTCGCTAACAGCACTTGCCCCTACAGTCTGTTCAGGCTATATGGGGGATCTTTTTGTAAGTGTGTGTGTGCGCGCACAACAGTACGCGTGGTGTTGGTGTGTGTGCCACGAGTACGACAAATCCTTAGTCTCCTCCATAGGTGATTTTCAGTTGGCCTCCCTGTTCCTGTGAACGTATTTTCTCCCATCTCTGGTCGGTGCCGAGGCAAACCAACTCTCGCACACGGGCAATCGTTAATGCATGCAAATGGTAGCCGCCAACAGGGGTCGCGCAGAAAAAACAAACTTTTAATAACATTGGCAACGGCAGCGCTGGAAAAGTGAAATAGCAAAAACAATTGAAAGGACCGAGGTCCACTGTGTGCGGAGTAACTAGCTCAAATGAGTAATTTTCCTCATTGGGCAACTAATTCTAGCTCTAACCAACTACCCAACCAACCGCTCGTACTACATGCGGATCTAGAAACTTACAAAGGAATGGGGTGAGAGTGGTGCCCTGAAATTCCAAGATTTTTAAATAAGACCCTTTGTTAATAATACAACCCTTTAACGAGTTTTTTTCTCCGTGGTAAAAGTCAATAAAATGCCAACGTTCAGGGTCTCGAGGTGAGCAGGGAGGGGTTATATTGCCCTACCCCTTGAATCTACCACTGACTCGTACTCCCTCTACCCTTCAAACCCACGAGCCAACCAGATACGAGTGCTAAGCCTCCTGCTGACTCTCCACCTCTTGACCAGGGTCCTCTGCATTATTTTATTTTGTGAACGTTTAATTTTTGTTTTTGACAAAAAAACTAAACTTTTTGTTTGTACCAGGTAAGGCCCACTGAGCTATGAAACTTTTTTGAGAAGCGACCTGGCCACAAATGAGAGCTTAACGAAGTGGCTCATCACGTGGAAATGTTTAGCAGTCGTACTCGAAAAACGAATGTCCATAAATGTGGAGGGAAAAACCGGAGGAAGAATCCACGTGGGGGGAAGACGCGGATTCTCCAAATACGCAGCAGTCGTGATCGATCCCACGACATCTTGCACACCAGGCAAGGGAGATAATATCTCGCACCGCGGCGATCCACCTCCACTGGGTTGACGACTCGCATGCGGTGGCCGTGCATCATGAATAGCGTGTTGAAGTGTGATGCACGTTCACCAATATATACAAAACATCTTAATTTGGATTGGGACTTGGAACTAATTACGTGCTTCCTCGGGGCCTCGGATAATTCTTTAATGAAGGTGTACCCACTTGATATACTGCGTCTCAACAAGCTGGTATGTAAACGAACCTCGCGACAAATATTAAGCTTTGGGCTACATCTGAAACATGGGCGAGGCGTGGGAGCTTATCTGCCCTAACATAAGTTTGATTGGGAACCTGATTTCAATTTCTGGCCACGTAATGTTAAGTGTGCGAGTGATACCTGCGGAAAGGAGCACCAAGAGGGGTGAGTCGTGTATGCAGTGCCGGATTATCCCAGTAGCACAAGTAGCTACATATATAGTAGCTACGGGCCCCGCACTTTCAAAGACCCCGCGCTAAATGCTTTCAAGCTATCAATTCCGCTTCAGTGATTCTGCACTTGCTCTATTACTATACTGCCTTAAACTTTTATGAACAACTGGGTGTTTAAGGTTAGCGATTTGGCTGTTTAGCAAATTAAATAAATACAATTAATTTACTATGCAAGTAAAAAAAATTGTGTTTTACATTTTTTCTTTTATTTAAGGCCCCTTGATAACATATGCTACAGGCCCCGCACTAGCTTAATCCGGCACTGAGTGTGTGGCTTCCTTTGCGGTCATTCGAATTTGCAGGCAGAGTCATTGCATCGTGTGGGCAGATGTAAATTTAGATAGTGGCAACATCTTCAATCAAAGGTGCAATTTTAGCCATGTAATGGCGTGCAATTGAGGTTTACCTGACGGCCGTTTAAGATCTCGCCCAGGTGTAAAATCGACACAAAGGAACCGGTACATGTGGGTTAAGTATCGTAGGCAGGGATTCCTCACTCCTGACATTCTGGGTTCATATCTGGGTTTTCGCCTCTCGCTATTCGACAGGGTTCTCAAGTGCAGTGAGTTGTTGGTCTCATCCTGGTCACCAATGACAGCACACACAAAAAGACAAGTATATTTTGGGGAATTTTTTCTCTCCATTAAAATTCGCCTTATTCTGCTTCAACTCCCTGTCAAGGCTAACGGTGCTCGAGTGAGACCTGAAGCAGTCCTGGGACTCCACCACATAAACTCAGCCTTAAATTAGTACTGTACCTAGTAGGCAGGAGTTTTAGGGATGACATTTTTATGTTTTTTTGTTAAATCTTAATTTGGAGTATTTTTTTCCGGAACGCTTGCATCGTTTAATTCACACCTCTTCGTGCTGACGAAAGTGACGTTACCCGATGCCACGTGGCACCACTCGTCGAGGTAAGGCGTGGAAGTGACGTCACGTTAAGTCATTTCACGTGACGTCATACTTTCGAATCAATCCGAAAATGCCAATAAAAAAATTCGGATAATTTCTAAATTGCACATTTAGCCACGTTCCCCCCCCCCCCCCCACCAATTAAAAACCATCAGGAGCACATCCCCAGTGCCTAGTGTAATGTATAAACATCAGCACCTTGGGAACAAAATTGCCTGCCGCGGTGCTGGCCAACCCGACCTTAATAGGTACTCCATCACAGCGTTTGCCTCTTTGGTCTACAAGGCTACACGGGGGATCTTTGTCTGTGCGCCCTGCATAGCTCATGTGTGTAGGATAGCGTGTGCGTTTCTGGGTGCTGGGAATATGACATATGTTACCCCTCGGGCTGATCAACTTAAAAACCATGTGGAGAAGCACCGTGCATGGGGCTGCCTGTCTCTGCTTTCCAATTCCCCACGTCTCATTCTTTTATTCCTACACCCTAACCTCCCCCCCACCTCTCCACCCCATCTTCTCCCCTACGTCGCAACATCCGAAGCTATACAATGAAACACGTGGGTTTAGGTAAAAATGTGAAATTCAATTCGGAGAATGAGCCGGTGGTGGTAGTGGTGGTGATGGTGAACGAGCACGATTGTAAAATATATATTTTTTTTAAATCACCACCTCTGCCATTAACACTGCGTAATTACAGAATGAGTACACAGACTGACGTTGCGGGTCACGGGCCTTTATAAGAGCAGAGAGATGAGCTACACGATGCATACACACGGTTGACAATTAAGTGTATGTCTATAAATAATGCATTTTTAATGAGTATTAAAAACATTCGAAATTTGATATACTTCACCCGCACGGACCGGCACTAACGAATTACATGGTTCAATTTATATTTTGCTCATATGCCAGCAATAAACACTAGTACTAACGATCCTCACTGACGTCTGTGTGTGCGTGTACACACCATGCCCAAGCAAATCCCTTAATCGTCATAACCGAGCGCACTCTGGATTATTTCTCTCTCTGCAACCACCGTGAATTATGCTGCAACCAAGGCGGGAAAATAAGGTACGGACCTCAACC